GTGCATGCTTACCGTCTAGGCTCGGAAATGCACTCAACCCCAGCAGGCTCAGTCATCAACACACCAGAATGCAGCAGCAAAGCTTGGTTCAATAGCTCAATCACGCTACCGACAGGCGGACCTCACTGCTCTATTCACATTTATACGTCAGCTACAATTTCAGCACTCACCGATCGGACGTGACCTTACATATAGTTCCTAAGAGCTTAATCCGTCTACATTCGCATTTTATGAATGCTTGCATGGTTTCCTCAGGTCACCAGAAAGTCTTCCGTCAAACAGTCGGCCTTCCTTCTGCCAAATCCCATCCACGCTGTAACGCAAAAATATAGTTTGATTCGGTAGTGGACCACACCACTGACGCATACATGCACTCATGCCCCGACGCCAAACCCCATCCGGGGCTGACCTGATAATGGTGATTCGAGTCTTTTTTCAATGTGGCAAACAATGTGTGGCTACGCATACCTTAAAGAATATATGTAGCTGTTACGACTCGTAGAAATCATTCCTTTTCCTTTATCAGGTCAGTCTGGTTATTCAGGATTGCCACTTTCGCTGTAGTGGAGAAAAGTTTAAAAGCTCTCCGACTCTGAACGTGCAGACTTCTTTAACTACGCTGGAGAACTGTCTCATGTGACTATTGGACGAAACACATGACAAGGACGGGAAATCGCTTCAGATTTTGGGCGATTTAGTTGCATAGCTCACGAACAAACCAAAGGCCATCATCACAACCTAAGCTGACAATACACTCTTCAGCTACTTGACAAAAATTTAGACATTCTATAATCACTTATTGATCATATGGTCTAGATAATCGGTTTTGATTTGTATCTTATACTCGGAACTATCAAACACGGTCCACTTTGATTGTTCGCTGGGACATAGAGGGCTGAGAGTAGAGATATGGATTCGGAAAGCCGTACGAGAAAACAGCAGAGAAGTAAGCCAAGCTACGTGAAGGGGACTGTTCCAGGAGAGAAACCACATCTACTTAGTCCTTTGATTTATACTGGGTAGAGCGTTTCACTTTGGGTAAATTGACCAGCAGTTCCAAACTGCGAGGTTTTCACCGCGTCTTTCATCTTCTCCAGATTAGTTGTGTTCATCTTATGCTGCGGCGACCATTCTCGGACTTGTAGATTCAATTTCAAGAGGTGACATCATTTTCGGAAAGGTAGAAACCCCGCTTTTCAGTTGTTTCAACTTTCCGAATTCAGATATTTTGTCAGCGTTAGCAATCTCTGACGACGAGCCAGTATAAAATACACTTGTTGTGCCATCAGCATGGACTCAGCCTCAGTCATTAGGTCATGTGATTGGATATAATAAGCATTTAGTATATGTATTAAGGCCACCGACATTCGATAAAAAAAAGTCAGAATAACGTGAGGAAAGTGATACAGACTGTGTGTAGCTTATGACGCGTATTCGCTCCACTCATTTTGCCATATGGAACCGAGTGATTTTGAATCTCAAATGTCAATTAATAAAATCTCAGTCGTCTCCATTTAAATTTGCAGCCAGTCTAATTTTACTGACTCCTCCCTTTTATGCAATATATAGCTAATAAGATCATCGTTCCAGCGTGCACGTACATGCGCACTAAACACCCCTGCAAGCCTAATTGAAATTTCATTTTGTGAGTAAAGCCAGTCTAGGCCGAAAAGCCTATAAGCTCCGTAAAATGGTTGCGTTCTCATTGAGAAAAATCCGTAGAGCGCATCTCAGGAATTTCTGGGGCGATTCGAACTCGCACTCTCCCTGATAGTGGTTGAAAACGAAACTGTTTGGCCACGAGCCGTTGGCTCGCATTGTGAATGTTTAAGTGGAAACGAAGCAAAAGGGCAACATTCGTTTTTAGTTGTTTGAATTTCCTGAAATAAAAACTGAAATCCGGAAGGTTCATTGAACAATACAGGTTGTATGAAGAAAGATTCACTATCCTCTCATATTTATATTTTTTGGAACCCAATAATAAAGTGCATCTGATATATCAGCATAAATTTCACTTAGGAAATCTCAAATTCTAAATTGTTACCTTTTGCTTGTTGGCCAAAACAAAGCATAAATTCCAAAAGTTCCCAAGTAAGTTGTAAGTTGCGGAAAACACTCAGCTGCATACGAATTTGGTCGCGACGGGAGACCCACCCGTCTTAATCTCTCGTTCACATATCGCGATATCCCAAATATCGTGCCAGCTGAGACATGAGGCGACCTGGTGTAGCACATTTAATTGCTTAAGAACATTATAAACGAGAAATTCAGCTAGTTTCCAGGTGAGTCTACGGTGGAAACCAAATTGGTATGCAAATCAATGTAGTCTACTAGTTCCGTGCAATTTAGAACATAAGGTTGACGGAAACTCGGGGAGTGCGTCTGCGTCATGAGCCCTAAGAAGGGTGAAACCGGTCGTAGGCTGTCGAAGAGTTTTTAGCAACCTTATGAACAGGGTATTACGTCTATGTAGGCTATGAGTAGTAATTATGAACTGTTGCTTTTCACAGCTTCCTTGGACCTTGTAAAGACAGTAGCACTTGTCATCGTTCCAATTTCGTCCACCTAGATTAATAAGTTTTAACAAAAAAGCGTGTCGTTGAACGGGCACCATCACTAAGGTCGTTCTCCCAGTAGGCTGGAAAGAAATATCCTTATTCGGAAAACCAGAAATCTTCACCTCGTCTATTCCATCAGTTAATTTGGTTTTTACAAACGAACCCAGTCACATGTGTCTATCAGCGCGGCGTCTGTCTCGTGCGGTGTATTCAGCACCGGTTAGATTCCAAAAAGGGATATGGATAAAAAAACTCAAACTCAGGCGGAGCGTAGTCTGCCCGGTAACGGTCTTGAATTTTGGGTGGATCGAATCTTTATCAGGCATGTTTGATTGATTGAAAAAATTCTTTGCATAGTGAATGCGTGTGTACTGTGAAAGGCGCCAGTCATTACATAAAACAAGACTGACTGGGGGAGAAATCATTCGGTTCGCCCAATTTTTACTGCAAAATTCCCTTAAACGCCCTTCCTCCTAGAAACGTTGGTTAGTTCGAAATGTAGCAAAGAGTTTTAATAACCTACATAGACCTGCATCACTCAGTAGGTCATGTGATATTTCCCAAGACAGTCCTCTCTGAGGGCGGAGATATTATTCCACGCTGAGTGACCTACACACGTGGAGAACCATAGTGTTGAGTTTTTCGCAAGAAGCGTGGTCGGAGTGCGGTTCCCAGCCTTCCTTATATCACCAGCAGGCGTTTCAGTTGCTATGCGTGATTTTGTTGTGAGCTTCATCGGTGTTGACGACTCGCACCTGGTCACAGTGTAAGATGTAGAATGTGATGCGGCTAATTAGTAATATTTTTAACTCATAAACTTTTAACATCCGTAATACAGGTTTTCATGTGAAGGAGGAAATCATATTTTCACGTCTATAGCGATACATGTATCGATTGTTCGCAAAACTGCGTACCAGTTTATTAGCATCCGACCCTAGCTGACCCGAGATTCTCCCATCCACTGCTGTATTTCGTGGCATCTTCCTCACTAGTGGAGTAGTTGCGACAAACAAGTTTGGCTAAATGCTTACCACAAAAAACCTATCAAAGTTTCAGTAAAAACATCGTTCCCCTTTGATTGTGGTAATTAACCACCTTAGACGCTGTATTTCTGACTCGACCGCAAGACTGTGGTTGGTTGGTCGCTTTGATAACCAGCAGTAATGAATTCATTCATATGTTTATTTAATAATGGACTTCCGTTACCGTCTGCCAATACTTCGATAAACGGACGCTTGTCAGCCTATCACAAACTAGCTATAAATGTGCGAATAAAAGTCACTCACTGTTGGTAGTATGAGAGAATTTGAAAGCTTTAATGAAGATTTCCTCTTAGCAAACAAACTTGATTCTTCGAGAGACTCGCCTGAAACCCAGCTGAATCTCTCGTTTGTGATATTTCCTTGCAACTGAATGTGTTGCACCAGACAGCCTCATGTTTCACTTGCTACGATATTCGAGATATCGTGATGCATGCATATTCGTATTGCACTACTCATAAGGTTGCTGAACTGAAAATTCAGCCCACAACCGGTTTCGCCCTTCTTGGGGCTCATCAGATAGGCACAGTCCCCGAGTTTCCGCCAACCCCATATTCCAGTTGGAGCTAAATTGCATGAAATTAGCCAACTACACTCATTTGCAAACAAATTTGGCTTCTCAAGAGACTCACCTGGAACCCAGCTGAATCTCTCGTTTGTGATGTTTTCAGGCAACTGAATATGCTGCACCAGGCCGCCTCTTGTTGGTGAAGTCAGCCTATGTTGAAAAGCCGAAGATCACGGTGTATCTGTTTCACCCTGATTGGGAATCATCAGCAGTGCGCATCTCACTGAACTCTAGGAAGTCTGGAAACCACCACCTCCCGGCCGGTGGTTTAAACACAAGTTGCCGCAATAAAGATGAAACAGCTGTGCAATGCTTCTTGGATATTCAACATACATGGGGTTCAATTACCGAATGAAATATCCGCTAAATATTATCATGCACTCTAGCTGCCCCACGGTCAGCCGTTTGAAAAACGGTACCCTTCTTAACAAATAAACTCACCATCTCGGCATATATGGGGTCAAATTACCGAATGAAATATCCGCTAAATATCATGCACTCTAGCTGCCTCACGGTCAGCCGTTTGAAAAAAGGTGCCCTTCTTAACAAATAAACTCACCATCTCGATAGCCAGAAGCACTCAATTCAGGCATCCCAATGCAACGAATGACCGAGTACGAAATTCACACTAGCTAACTTTCTAACCACATCCAAACGAGACGGCGATTCTGTCTGTGATGTGACTCGTACGGTATCATGCGCGTCCTTTCTGAAGAACGGAGTTCCAGGACCGCTTTATTGCAGGTGGGCCAGGTAATCAAAAGTTCATATCATACAATAACATAAAGTCCTAGTTGATAGCTCTCAACTTTTTATCTGGTAAATACAATGTAGCGAGCAAGCAAATATCTTTTCTGTTAGACGTGTGGCTCTCATGTGTACTTGTGTGTGGACCTATTTACCGAAGCACGTCGCAAGAAAAACCCAGTGGGACGGCCTCAGGGACAAGTGCATCAACCTATCGATAATACCGAAGTCGTTGGAGGGAGGTAAGGCAGCAGATTCTTCAAAACCTGTGGTATTTCAACGGACAAATGCTGGTGAATCAGCGGTGGAGACGGACACACATAAAAACAACGGACAACAACCACGCTGGCGCCCGTCTTCTGGTGCCAACAGAGCACAAGGTTTTTACTGCGCGCCTATCACCAGTTCCGTCTGGCTAGATCCTGTGAACAAATTCAGTTAGAAGCAGCGTGGATTGAATAGTGCTTAACTGGTGCCCAGCTTTATCTTCACTAGTACTAACATGACCAGCATAATAATGAGAACACTCATAATTCCTGTTTGCATTTCACGCCAATCTTCTGCGCACTGCAGCATAAGCCACAAACTAACCGATTGGACGACGGGTGAGTTCTAGATTCCGTGGCTGCTTTGTATCTCCAACCCTCTCTCGTCCCCGAAAGCATAAACTTGGCAAAATTGCTCATTGTCCACTCTAAGTTAGTTGATTTATGTTCCCGCGTATAGATGATCGGTAGGAATTGCAAAACACTTAAGTAACAGTTCATGGTTTTGTGCCCATTGCACCGGTATTGATACGTGCAAACCTGGAACAAGGTAGGCCTTCGTGATATTGAACAGGTATGCCAGGTGGAGGAGCTCAAGTCAAAGCACGACAAGTTCAAGAACGAACGGCAATAATTCAGAGGTTCTGGCTATCACTGATAATATTTACGGGGGGTCCATGGTCATGTTTGGTTGTACATACCTTTGGGAAATGTTGGACTATTATCCGAAACGTCAGGATCACTGCATCTTGCGCCGAAAATTACCGTGCTTTGATTTAACATTCTCCAACGCTTTAATATTTTGTTGCGCATATAATTGGTTGCGCTACATAATTGGTTGTTTGATAGCAACAAACAGATCTCGAAAGCAATTACAACGGAACACATTACACTCCCGTGAGACCTAGTACAGAAACAAACACGAGGATACGATATACTGCACCGTTTCCTATATAACCTGTAAACTGCAAAACTGCATCAATAATTCGAAATCCATCAGCTTTGGACAATTCAGGAGTCGTCTATGACTGTAAACCATTCTTCGTTTGAAATAAAAGGACTCAACTACAATACGGAACCCCTCATTCAAGCTGATTGGTAGAAATTTTAGGTTAGGCCGCAAACAAAATCACGGACTGGCCTCATGTTACATTTAACAGAGTGCAGGTGGAGTGGCCATCCGGACTGACGCGTGACATTTGTTTGTGGGTGTCTACACGTTCATCCGGTGACGTCGTGCTCAAGTCTGACCTGATCCGTGATGTACTACAAATCCATGTTGCCTTTTGTTGAGTTTTACTAAAAGCGTACACCCGTTTGGGAGGCGGTTGCATTGTTTTCATTGTTACCAGTTAGATAACACAGCAGACTGTTAGCAGTCACGACAACTGGAACCTTTAAAGTCGTCAGTAAAGCTACAACATTTTGGCTAAGATGATGTACAACGGAAGGGTCGGCTATGCTACTAGAGATTTTCGAACAAGCATATACAGCCGTAGTTCAAAAGAACAACATGAACATTTACGTCTTCCTTCCGCGCCTGGTTAGTGAACTGACTGCCATCGTTCTCAATCCTCGGTCGACTGCTCCTTTGTGGCAGTTACAGAACCTATATTCCAACCCTAGAAGAAATTTTATGGACTAATTCAAGATGTATCCAGTTTCACGGGAGAGATGTGTTGTGCCCCCCGCCACCCTCGTTAGATAGAATAACACTCATGGCTCCAAAGTTTTTTTTATGCAAAGGCGTACACATTTCCGTACGGCAGTGTAACATGTGTGCAACCAGGTAAGAAAGACTGACGGCCCTGACCATTAGTAAAACTCGATTGCTTTCACCAGATTTCGATGCATGACTAGGGTGAATGTCGTCTGTCTGAGTACACATACATCAGCTTCAGTGAGTTTTAGACCAGCCATCACATGATTTCTGCAAAAGACCACGAATCAGCCGAAATAATAGATAACTGTGCACCACACGTTTCGTCCAACTGGAGAGCCATGTGGTCGCCTCAGCCTGGCTTAATATCCGTCAGCCATAGCCCAGTCGCGCCCTCAATGGCGCTCATGCATCCAAGCTATCGCCTTCAATGCACTGCTCGCTTCCCAATCTCCCACTTAACAGTCCACTCACAGTGCTGTACTTACGCTCTAATTTATCAGCTCCCGCCTCCAATGCGCAGCTACCTACCCCACCTCCCCGAATCATCGGTGAACGAAACAATGGCAGTTACAACCACTGTACGACAAGTACGCGGTTATTATAGCTGACAATGATGAGTTTACATCGTAACAAATTGCTCTGGTACGAAATCTTTCTAACAATCCCAATCATGTAATTTTAATGAACACCCAAATTTCCAAGAAAGGCTCGTTTTTTAGTAAAATGGAGGAGAAAGTCCCAAACTTTCCGCAATAGAGCTGCAAAGCACATTGCGAATAGGAGACCAACAACAAAAGTGCTGTCAGTAAGCGATTTCAAGGTCCACGCGGAGCAACATTCGTCATCTTCTCCTGTGGAGCACGCCAACTCGTTCTGGGTTTTGTGTGATTTTAGTGCGCTTGCTTTCCACAACACCAATCACACACTCGAAGCCTTCACGAAACTGGTTTAAACATCTCCTTGTTGACTGTTGGTCCATCGTTTCAAGGAGGGTAGACTTCTTGGACTACTCAGAAGCACGGCGAGGTCACAGGGCGACCCGCAACCCCACCGAAAAGCGTGAAGCGCATTGGTATTTACATTCACGAACAGAGATTCGAACTACGATTAACGGAATTCCAGGAAGCAAACCTAATTTCGAACAGGCGAAGTTCATGCTGGCCACGGACTTCTGTGCAGTCTTCTTTGAACGTAAATGCTGTACTTCCGACCTACTTACCACCGTCCGAGTACTATATGTTATATGTATATGGATGTACGAATGGCACGTCAGTAGCTACCCTCAGCAGAGTTTGAGCGTGCCATCAACCACATCCAACCAGGCAGTGCTATTCCGGTGTTCCAGAAGTGGCTAACTTAATCAACCTCTCTTGACCGACATGTTCGCTACGGCTGTCAGGCGCTCATAGAGGAGAATTTAGGTGAGGAACACACCGGCTTCCCTAATTGTCGTTCTGGATGTAACCGCGCGCCTTCCATATCTATTTTCCTCATTTTCAATGCACTGTTTTAAAGACACATTAAGCTAGATGATAATTCGAAAAACTTCGGCAAGTATTCCTCATGGAAAAACCACACTCATCGGAAACAATCTTAATGCAAGTGAAGACTTCGTAGTGGGAATATATTCGAGTGCTTTGAAGCACAAATTGCAGGTCTCGCAGGAGAAAACTTAAATGTAACAAATACAAGCGCCAGGGGCTTGTTCTGCAGGGAAAAGGATCAAAAATAAAGTTGATAGATTGCACGTCTCACTGGGCAAGGAGCAGAATGAAAGACAATTTGTCATACAATTGTTGACATGCACATTTCTTGGGAGTAAAACGGCCAAATAAGGCATTGAGCTCGTGGTGAAAATTTGTTTATTCAATCTTCTTGCGTAAGACCTCCTTTCTCAGTATTTGGAGTAGGTCAGATTCTTCACGGAACATTACGAACAAAGTAATACATAGGGCACAGGCAGTGATCGTCGCGTGTAGAGCAGCCGAAGGTATTCCATATGTGCAGCAGAAAAAGTGCTATCATGGAAGAGAGCAGGAGAATAATTACCGGTTGTTTATCAAGTGCTTAAATGAGAACTTGCCAATGTATCGATATATTCGTAGCTCGGATGCGTTTACTTGTGGTTGGTCAGATGGCCGTGGATCTGTTCCCCGAGCTTGTCACTTAGCTAGCGAACGTTTCGTCCCCAGTCGAGGACATATCGTCAGTGCGCAGTCGAGTGGGTACTTCCTCCTTATCGGTCTGTGTTTATATAGTTTATCATGTGGATAGCTGTTTGGTATATGCATTTCTTTTAAGCTTGATGGCGTGTTCGCTATTTGCATCGCGTCGCACACTGCACTGCTAGCATGCGCACACATCCGAACCGTCACAAGCAAAGCCGCATCCGAATCCTTTTCACACGTATTGAGACGCACTGCAACACTACGCGGTCAAAAATCATAGAAAAACGCTTGTGCAAAGCCTTTTAGAAAAATGAATACCCCAGAAGCATCATCTGGCGGGATCTCAGGAAATAGGATTCGGCCAACTCAACAGCACATGGAGCAGGCTAACGAATCAAACTCCCATACATTTCGCAAATGGCTGCTTGGCTGCTCAACGGTATAACGCACGTGGCCCCAAAGCCCGCTAGCACCCTACACAGAGAGCACTGTCAACCCTAAAGGGACGATTGGACACCTTGTTGAGAGCCAACGTCGTATAGAAAAAGTCAGTGCGGGGATTGTGACAAACACTTCGTGAGACAAACAGAAAGAAAGCCCTCTACCAGAATACTCTACACAAACTAGCAACCAAAAGACATGATCCAATTTTACTCTTCTCCGTACAACAAGATCAAGATGGACACAAATTCGACTGGAACAACGTACACATATTGACTCAAACAACTCGAAAGAACGTGAATTCATGGAAGCATGATATTTCACTAAGAAATCCATCACCAAACATTGAAATAAGCCAAGTTTATAAACCATTGCGAGAAGAAACTATAGAACTGCAGGATGTAAAGCCGCAAAACAAACTGGAGTGAAGGGATATAGAAGAAGCAGACAAACGAGAACAATAGTCGAGGAGATTAATCCAATTTCCCGGACCATCGTTGAACCAACAAATCGAAACAGGATTATGAACGATTCAAAGAAAGGAGGTATCAAATTGACCATTCAAGCGCAACCAAATCAACCAAAATGAAAAAGAAAAAATACATCAGTCGTGCAAGTATAACCGGTTAGTCGAACTCAAGGAGACGAGATTACGAAACAAAATAAGACCAGACTAATCAGACTGGAGGGAAGAAGCTACCGACAAAAGAAATAGCGACAGCGACCGACCACATTCAAGTAATAAAGAGCATAACGAAAAACAAACCGATGGAATAACAGATATACAGGCCACAACGAAGCGCAAACCGCGAAAGGGCCAACAAGACTACGAGACAGGTATATACCTATTAGTCGGTCACATGAGTGTTAGATATTCTTCGGAAACTACATAAGCATAGACAGGTAAGAAGGAAGCACTCCTTCCCCAACTGCACACTGATGATGTCTCCTCGACTGGGGACGAAACGTTGGCAAGCTAAGTGCCGAACTCGGGAACAGCTAAACAGCCATTTCATCGACCACCAGTGAAGTAAACACCTTTTCGCATGTTTAGGCACTGCATTAGACAAAGCTCATAGAAAATAACCTACAAGTCACCTAGAAATTACAATAAAGGGTCGACTAGCACGTTGTTCTGTGATTACAAAGCCTCACAGTAGTCCTGATGAGAAGATATCCATGTACATGTGGTACTTTCTGAAGCTGAACAGCTGAAGACGCAAAAACACAACCGAACCGATTCACCATAAACCCAACCTTAGCTGTTGATGTAGCTTAAAATAATCGATGATAAAGGGAGCCTTGGTTATGGAATGTGCCGACTGAGTGCTCCACACATTGCTGCAACAAATTGGAAAAACAACGAGCAGTAGGCTTTTCAATCAGATACCTCATGGCAGCCATACGATGGCACAGCAATCGGCACACCCTTTAGGGTTGCGGAATAAAACAAAAACTTTGTCATATAGACTGGGATGGCTCCTGCTCAATAAAAACATCAAACTGTTAAACAAGACGCAATCCTGTCTTCATCGTTGTTAGAGATCACTTCTGGACATCCGGCATGGTCCAAATAAGGACGTAATACAGAAGGATAACTGGAGGCCCATAATAAAGATCAAACTGGAGTGACAGTAGTGAATTAAGCGACTCTGTTGGATGAATAATCTCATGAAAATAGGCTTAATGTGTTGGATTTCAATCAGAGTTCCAGGGATTTTAGCAAGCATGCACGGCACGAAATGAGACCAAGAGCTGATTATGAGGAAAGTCTTTGAATGTTTTGCCATTGAAAAAATCGTCGTTGGGATAGCTCCTGTTCAATAAAAACATCAAACTGTTGAATAAGACGCAATCCTGTTTTCATCGTTGTTAGAGGTCACTTCTGGACATCCGGCATGGTCCAAATAAGGACGCAATACAGAAGGATAACTGGAGGCCCATAATAAAGAAGATCAAACTGGAGTGACAGTAGTGAATTAAGCGACTCTGTTGGATGAATGATCTCATGAAAATAGGCTTAATGTGTTGGATTTCAATCAGAGTTCCAGGGATTTTAGCAAGCATGCACGGCACGAAATGAGACCAAGAGCTGATTATGAGGAAAGTCTTTGAATGTTTTGCCATTGAAAAAATCGTCGTTCTCCATGGAACAGGGGAGAAAATCCACACAGATGGCGTCAAGACCGTACGCAAAACATTGAGGATATAGCGTGCTTCACTCAGCATTCGTTCGTGAGTTGCGTCTTAGATGTCAGACTGCTTGTCGATGCGTCGTGCAGTTACCCTTGCTTCTTGTGTGAGAGAACCTCATGTCGTTCACAAGCACAGTTGTAGGAACCTCATTTTCTGTACATACCTCAACTAAAAACAACCTCGGCGATATGCCTCTCGACTTCCTCTGTCTAGGCTTGGGCAACCTGGCAGTATCCCAGCCCTCGTGCAACTTTCGAGTGACATGGCAGCTAGGCACCGAAAGGGTGCTACAGCTGAACGACATATAGAAAAGTCCGAGATGGCGTCAAGACAGTACGGAAAACATTGGGGATATAGCGTGCTTCATTCAGCATTCGTTCGTGAGTTGCGTCTTGGATGTCAGACTGCTTGTCGATGCGTCGTGCAGTTACCCTTGCTTCTTGTGTGAGAGAACCTCATGTCGTTCACAAGCACAGTTGTAGGAACCTCATTTTCTGTACATACCTCAACTAAAAACAACCTCGGCGATATGCCTCTCGACTTCCTCTGTCTAGGCTTGGGCAACCTGGCAGTATCCCAGCCCTCGTGCAACTTTCGAGTGACATGGCAGCTAGGCACCGAAAGGGTGCTACAGCTGAACGACATATAGAAAAGTCCTCCTCTGAAGTGTCAGGGAGATGAGGAATTCGTTGGGTAAGATAATACGCTGACGTGTAGAAACATGGTGAAAACTAATGGGAGATCAGATTATAATCAGTAACAGAAACCGGTGAGCTTCAGCTGATTGAATGCGTGTCCCTGCAAAGAAGCAACAACAGGGCTCTAGCCTCACAGTTAGAGGACGTGCGCCAGTCCAGTTGTGCTTGGAATTTCTTCCACGACCTTATTATGTTGAGAACATCAGTAAGAGCGGAATGATCTAAGCCAAGCAAAATTACCGTAGAAACACTCACCTCGGAAACCAGCGTCACTGCTAAACTGAGAAGAAGGACGATGGACTCCTTCACGGACGGAAACATCAGTTGGAGCAAAGAGAAGCCGCAAACAGCTTCCCGAGAGTCATTTTCCAGCTCCTTGTTATCCTTGCCGACCGACCGCAGGGAATATTCGTCCGTCTGCGGTGTACTTCCAGTAGAGGTTACAAATCGGTTAATATAGTAGCAACTGCAAAGGACATAGACAGTAAACCCCCCTAGTTGATCGTTAGCAGATATGGCAAATTCGAGGTACGGTCAAAAAGTAACAATGGAGGTTAATTATACCAAACGATGAAGAGCCGGCAAGGTAGGTGCAGTCCCCAAGTTTCCATCAACCTTATGTTCTACTTGGACCCAAACTGCACGAAATTAGCGAAATATACTCAGTTGGATACAAATATGGTTTTCAGGGGATACCTAAGTGAATCTCTCCTCCCAAGGAGGTCGAGACAGGTGGTGGACCATCGAAGGGTTATTAGGAACCTTATGGGTAGTGTGCTACGTCTGTAAAATAGGTGGATAACCACGAGGAAATAAGAAACTGTAGAAACCCTGTCAGAAAATCATCGACAATACGAGGGGTAAACGTTCAAACTTTTCCCGAGAGATGGCTTCTCGATTGGCTCTTTCTCACACATGGAGTAAAGCAAACTTATTCAAGTCAGTCTGATTTTTCAGGGATCTGGCTCTGTCACCTTCAGGTACTCCCAATCTTGTTAGATCGCAACCTTATTTCATTTTGCTATCCGTGTATTTTAAGCCCAACGTTCCACGGAGGTGAACTAAAAAAATTGATCTACCTTTGTTTGGCTTCAGCACGAGGTGTCAAAACACAACGAACGCCTAATCATCTTCTCCTTCGTGTTCCTCGGTGCAAACTGGCTTTTTGTCCCATGGTTGGGTGCTCATGGATTCGTGGTAGCCAACTGTATTAACATGTTCAGTCGAATAGCCTACAGGTTTGTTACGCCTGGCTTTGTGGGTTTTCTTCATTATGTTTATATTTTATGAATTTTAACCACGTATTAGTGCAGATTTCCCACTTAATGGGTTAGCAGATTTACTGGGTTTTAGTAGATTTTCCATGCTGATTGGAAATAATATATCTTTGAGGAATAGGATGAAAATAAAGTGGACTTTATCCTCTAGTAGCACAAGGATAGAATCACCAAATGTCGCCTTAGGACCACCGGTTTTTCCTCATCAGCACACAGGAATGGGTCACGCATGACGCACAAGCCTTGTCCTTCGATTTTATTTTATTGATGAACATTCTCAGTACTAATAAGATAGCTTTAAACTCGGTCTCAAGAACCGTATCCGGTTTGAGAATGTTCATCAATAAAATAAAATCGAAGGACAAGGCTTGTGCGTCATGCGTGACCCATTCCTGTGTGCTGATGAGGAAAAACCGGTGGTCCTAAGGCGACATTTGGTGATTCTATCCTTGTGCTACTAGAGGATAAAGTCCACTTTATTTTCATCCTATTCCTCAAAGATATATTATTTCCAATCAGCATGGAAAATCTACTAAAACCCAGTAAATCTGCTAACCCATTAAGTGGGAAATCTGCACTAATACGTGGTTAAAATTCATAAAATATAAACATAATGAAGAAAACCCACAAAGCCAGGCGTAACAAACCTGTAGGCTATTCGACTGAACATGTTAATACAGTTGGCTACCACGAATCCATGAGCACCCAACCATGGGACAAAAAGCCAGTTTGCACCGAGGAACACGAAGGAGAAGATGATTAGGCGTTCGTTGTGTTTTGACACCTCGTGCTGAAGCCAAACAAAGGTAGATTAATTTTTTAGTTCACCTCCGTGGAACGTTGGGCTTAAAATACACGGATAGCAAAGTAAGATAAGGTTGCGATCTAACAAGATTGGGAGTACCTGAAGGTGACAGAGCCAGATCCCTGAAAAATCAGACTGACTTGAATAAGTTTGCTTTACGGGATGAACGCAACGGCAACTGTCCTGTCCGGCTGTCCAGCATCTGTGTGGAAGTGGTTTCTGCACACTTTGTTTACAAGGTATACTTCCAAAAGGTGACCTCCAGGTGACTTATCATCTCTCCCTAGTGGAAAGTCCTATTCGGGAGAAATCTCCGGATGATAAGGTATTGCAAACCTTTGATTTTTTTTCATTCAGAACATATCCAGGCAGACCACATAGAATGTGCTGACCGGAACTATCTCCTCGGCTGGTGAAATAGTACTGTTGCCTAGGTGCGCGGTCCAGCTTTACTCGCTTGACCGAGAACAAATGCAGAATTCTGGCTAGTCTCCTGTTAACTGACTACCACATGAATTTCTTGTCATTTTTCATAAGCGGTAATTGGCTATCCTGCCCGTTATCTATTGACATCTATCTGAGCCGACAAATCTTACCGATTCAGTTAGCACACTGACGTTATGAACTGCAAACTAAGGCTGTTGATCATACTGACTAAATAGTCAAAATGCTTGAAAGGGCAATCTGTCGAGTGGATTATGCACCCTGTAGAGAAATCAAATCAACCATCGATTTGAACAATCACGGCCCCATACAATTTTACTGGTAGACGAGAGTAACGTTATAACGAGTACGAGTGTGACAGGAACTTTTTCGTACGGATCACAATAAGCGGAATTTGGATGCATATTAAGCTGTATTGATTCAGTTGTAGTAAAATAATCAGCTGAATCATCACGGACACAGCACGATACTAACACTGTTCCGGGTCAATGGTTATTTTGACGTCCCATAGAAACTGCTTTTGTATTGTGGGGATCCATAGAAGAAGGACTGTGTCACTGTTGCCCAATTGCGTATTGTGGGGATCCATAGAAGGACTGTGTCACTGTTGCCCAATTGCGGCCGTAGAATGGAATGCAGATTCCTATGCGGAAAAACCGATGTCTAGCTGTCATGCCACCGGAACGAAGCACGAAGGCTGGGACACTGCAAGGTCGCCCAAGCCTAGACAGGGGAAGTCGAGAGGCAGAGGTTGGATTCGAACCACGGACCTTCCGGTTAGTAAATTCACGTTCTAACCATTTGGTCCATCTCGCCCCGGATTTCTATGCCACCGGAAGAAAGCACGAGGGCTGAGAGACTACCAGGTTGCCCAAGCCTAAACAGGAGCAGTCCAGATGCTGAGGTCGGGTTCGAACCACAGAACTTCCGGCTTGTAAGTTCGCACCTTAATCACTGAGCCGTTTCGAGCCTTCCCATGCGATTCCCATAGTGATCAAGCCTGGAACATCAAAACGTAAGTCTACGAAAACTGAACTCATTTACATATCAACTGGGTTTTCACGGGAGGCTCAACTGAATCTTTCGTTTATGATGTAGGTTAACTGCAGAGAAGCCGCCTCATGTTTCAGTTGGTACGATGTTCAAGATATTGCAGTATATTTTCACTAAGAAAATTACTTACAAGGACGGGAGGCTAACTGAATCTTTCGTTTATGATGTAGGTTAACTGCAGAGAAGCCGCCTCATGTTTCAGTTGGTACGATGTTCAAGATATTGCAATATATTTTCACTAAGAAAATTACTTACAAGGTTGCTGATGTCAGCCACGAGATTACCGGGTCATAACTAGGCCAAGTTCGTTCCTGAACCACTGAACGATTTTAAGTAAATACGGGGGTTCCAAAACATGTTTTCTGTATTCAAACTTAGTAAATTCTTCGCCCGATACAACCCAATAAACTGAGGAATGGAATAAAGAGAATGATTGCAAACAGATCGGTGGACATGAGAATTCAATGTAAGAAAATAGCGTGGTGACCGTCCCATATGCTAATAGGCACTTACGGAAGACATCGCTGCGTTCAAAAACGCTTCCGTGGATCCGTTCCAAGCTAACAGTAACACGTAGGCAGCATAAAGACGAAGTAAGCTAACAGCCAGTACATTTTCCCCCAGCGCTGGACCCACATAAACGGTCAACAAGAGACAGGAATTGGCTTGAGCAAATGTGACGCCGATCCAAGCAACTAGGCTGCATGTCCGCAGTACAGTACGGAAGATTCGAAAAACACTGTTCAATAGTTCCTGTAAACACAAGCAGAAAATAATCAGTTAAGAGTACAAAACGATAGCTGAAATGTTGAGCCCATCGAACAAACCAACAACCAATGGAACAGACTATATGACAAGGCCAATAGTCTCATGGGTGCTTTTTTCGTAAATCCAAGGCGGCATAAATGGTATAAGACTGAACTCACCGGATCTTGCTGATTGGGTGGGATATTGCGTACAAGACACTGGTTGAAAACAAAATGACAGCTTTCTTCCATAGGTAGAAACAAGAGCCTGGTCGCGATGGAGCCAATATTGTTGACCATATCATAAATTCCTGTAAGCGGAAAATGTGTTGATGACGGCAAGCTGACCATTTCCAACTCAAACTGGATTAAGACCAAAACGGAAATCATTGTATGGAGTCGTAGTAAATTTGGAAATTGGAAGCAGTGCGATTCCCAGATTCATTGCAGCAGAACTGTCATAAATCACAACTAGAGCGACCTCATATCAAAACGCATCAGCATGTCCCACTTGGCTCCAAATTCGACCACGAAAACATTCACCAGTTCCCTCGCAGAACTGTTGATACGAAGTATTACGAGAGAAGTCAACTAATTAGCAAACGAATCCGTGCGTCGATGAGACTGTCAGAAAAAGGCTGTTCATCCAGCCGGCTTATGAAGGTCTAAACGAACAGTAAGAATACCTCCCAGTGAAAAGACAGGCCAAAAGTAGCCTTGCCCACGAGGCTTTCACATTGAAATGCGCTTTAAAGGGCCTGCCACAGAGTGGTTACTCCAAAGTGAGGGAACGACGATACCGTCGTCAACGAAAAGGTTCTGGTTGAGGAAAATCCTGAAATGAAGCTTCGTCAGTTCTACAAAAGCTGTGCGTCATAGGGCGATCCCAAGCATAGTGAGATATTCGGCGAAATATCCCACCAGGAAACTGCAGTTATGGTGAATTCCAGCGGAAGCTCGTTGGTTGCCCAGCGGATGAATGAATCGTGCAACTTCAGGGTAAAAAATAATGACCATACGTCCAACTTAATGCAAAGAAAATCCTGATTTATATCCTATGAAGAAGGTGTTAGGGAGATTCCGTAAACCACCTGTTATATACGTATGTTCTGATGTGCATATTAAATATCATCAGATCACGCAGATCACTAGATACCCAAAAATGCTTACATCTGTTGACGACCCAGTTCCCATACATGAGCACAAAAACCTATTTCCTCCTACTTATTGCACTCGTGCGGTTGGACCGTCAGTTGCTTCACTGGATTAACTGTTGGTAGAAACTAAAAAATCGTTCAGCTGTAACACCCTTTCGGTGCCTAGTTGCCATGCCACCCGAATAAAGCACGAGGGCTGGGATACTGCCTGAAACAGCAGAACAGGTATTTTACTGGATTCGATCGGTTTGCGAAGAGGTTACAAAAGACTGCTGAACACAGACACTCAATAAGAGCCTGTTCAAAGAAGAACCCACATGAAGAACCGTTATCTGGACGCAATCAAAATCAGTCACAAAATGTGGTGACAATGTGGTGGCAAAATGGATAAGAAAGTACAAATCGAGCACTGAGAATTGATTTCAGCGTACCTTGGTTCGTAAAGCTCAACAGGTTAAACGCGCTGATCAAATAAAGTTCACCTGAAAGAAAGAAAGCGATGTCCAATAAATGGTAGAGCAAATAAAGCATATCTTATAATAGGAATCGAAGAGTCAAACCAGGTCAATGAATTGTTCGGGCGAAGCGAAATGTGACAAAAATTTCGTAGGAGGCACTAGCGTTATAATCGTGTCAGGTTGCTCGGCCCTTCACGAACTGAAACATCTGGATTTTAGATCGGCAAACAAAGTAAATCAAGCAGTAGACAACCAGCGAACTTGAAGAGCATCACTGCTGATGATGCGCTAAGATGGGCCAGGGAGGCTGGAGGATAGTGACTTGAAAGAAGCCCTGGTTGATGGTGCGATTGGCACGAATATGGACATACCAGTGTGCATGAGAAAATTGCCAAAGAAGCAGATTTAATATTTGCAAGTCCATACTCGATCCTCCTCACATTCTACTTGACCACACACTGCCACTTCAGTAAACTTTTCAAACAGAAAAAATGAAAGGCAGATCATGGACAGGAACAAGACTAGCTTGGAAATGCATAAAGAGCAATGCGACCTCAGATGTTCAAAAAGCAGTCGACTAAAATCCCTATGCTCAGCCACGCTAGTAAATGAAACAAACTAACCTTCAGTGAGCAGCTGCTTCAGCAAGCCTTGGCCAAATAGACTCCGAGCCAACTTCAATGCCGGTCGGTCGATCTCGTACTACGGATAAAAATGCAAAGGCTGCGTAGACATACATATCGGTTAGCTAAAACCAATCACTTGTTGGATTAATTCACAGTGAATTCGATTAACATAGCATTCCCGAAAGGCAAGTCTGTGGGCCAGAGTATAGGAATTTTTTTAAATGCCGACGTAAATCATTATCATTTGGCTTCCTATTGTGTAAACAAGTAATAACTTGAGATACTACGCTGTACTTTACAGTAACACTCATTTTAAATTATCAACACGAAGGACACAAGCCGACTAGATGGGCAACAAGTCAAGGATTCAAGCTCTTGTCATCCAAACGAAATTCATGATGTTCTCTACTAGCAGATATGGACCCTATTATAGTGCAGTGTGCTACAACCTACATAAGTACAAACGGAAACTTGATATCTAACTGGGATTTCAAATAACCATTCTGTCATACTATGGATACTTCAAGTATAAGATATCGACAACAAACGGCGGGATCCGCTTCTCGCGGTCCATCTGGGAAAACTAAAAAGAGTTAAAATGAGGACGAGTGAATGCTAGTACTTGTTGAGACCAAACGAACAGTGCGTGTCAATCCACAAGTTTTCTAGGAAACTTCGGTTGCCTGGTTAAAAATACGCTGCCACTACGTTCATGAGCGTTCAGCGGATGGCGCTGAAAACTCAGTTGTCCGTTTGCGTCATCTTCAAGTGGGTTTCGTAACACATGTAAGTTCCGTTCAGAGACGGTCATGAGAAAGTGGGCACCTGACAGATACATATTCATCAGCGTTATGCAGCCCAAGTGGAATGATGGAGCTGGACAATCCCTCAGCCTCAAAAGAGAAACGTCGAAAAACTAAAGTCAGGACAACATGCGGACCATCATGCTATCGATTGTTGTATCCAGCAAGGAAAACACAGACAGACGACCTGTTTTAGAGCAGAAATTAAGGACAACAGCCCCTGATACCGCACCAATTACCACCCCATTAATAATTCTGAAGCCACGCTCTTGCACAAGGTCTAGGATTCACTGCCTACAGGAAGCGCATGTCAAAACAGGATAAACTACGACTGTCAGCTCTACAATAAATCGCGACGTTACATGACAACGAATTGTTTCAGCAAGAATTTAGCTAGCATGAGTCTAGGGGTCTCAACATCTACAATACAGTCTTCTACACTTCACGATATGCCAGGGCTGTCATATCGGTCAGTTGCCATGCTCCCTGCAATTGAACATGAGCCGAAATGGGGAATCGTAACACACTACTCGTAAGGTTGCTGAAAACCCTTCGACAGTTCACGGCTGATTTCGTCCTTCCCGCGACACATCAGGTGGGCGCAGGCCCCGAGCCTCCCTGTCCATATGTTCTAGTTGAACCCAAATTGCAAAAAATTACACTCGTTCGCACACTAACTTGTCTTTCACCGTAGACAGCTGAATCTCAACTGAATCTCTCGTTTATGACGTCCTTCTTCAACTAAATGTCTTGCACCAAACCACCTCACGTTTCAGCTGGTACAATACGTATTCAGTACGAAAATTCACCTGAATTTATCTACAACCTAGTGCTAGAAAACTAGAGGATTGAAAAGTTTATCCGGACCAGGGCAACATATCGAATACTCAAAGACTAATCAGACAAAAAAACAAGTGCCAACCTACTTTGGAGACTCGTGGGAATATGTCTCGGAACCGATGGACACCTTCGAGGGCTCTATCACCACAGTCACCATCGTCCCCACGTTTTCGGAGAGTGTAAGAGAAGTAGATTAGATAAGCCACAAGTAGTGTGGTACCGTGCAAAATCTAGGGGGGGGGGAGAAACGAAATACAACAGTGAGTGAACTAATACGAGTTGACACTTTTGAAGATGTTTATATATCTATCGAGATTCAAACGTAGTGGTGTAGATCAACCAACTTGAGGTTTGTGCTGTTGGATAGGCACCTCCTTTTTTGTTAAGTGATCAACGTAAACGGTCACGTTGACTAATTTGTTTAATTTTTGAATCAATCCAGTAAAATGAGGAATGTCCGTGATTTTCTCCTTTCTTCACAACCTGTGGACTGCCGTTTTGACGCGTTATTGATTCGTTTAACTATGCCTAATGGGTCAGTTGAATAAAACTACCACCATCCCACTTTCACCACAGTCTCCTTCTCAACTGACCGATTAACGTACCATCGGTACCGAGTTCTTTAAAACAAAGCAAATCCAACCAAACAACTGATAATCCAGTGAGGTTGTTTAATCAACTAAAGCATATAATAGAGGACAAAAAAACAGTGCTGAGTCTGAAATGAGTTTTTCACAATTTTATCGTTGTTGCTTGTTCCGAAAGGCTGTTTGCAAGCGAGCTGACAGTCCCGAAAGTCACAAAAGGCTGATATGAGAAAAACGGAAAACGTTGTCTTTCATTGTAAAGCGGCTGGTTTTGCAAAGACCTGAGAACAACAAGCGGGATTCCAACCAGGTAGACCGTACTTTCGGGCCCAGCTATTAGAATAGCTATATTTGCACAGACCGTTCTCTATCTTAGTCTTTCTTGCTTTCAACGGCAAATCTGAATCTGTTAACGAGACACGTGTGTACACGCGCGAACAGAAGTTTGTAAAGGTAAAATGTCTGTTGTCATAAGGATGTGAACGCTATAGGTTACTCAAAATCCTATCACCGAAATCGTCACTGGTGGAGCTTTACTGACTTGGAATATGTAAGTGACAGTCATCGCGATAAACGGATGGGCCGATTGGAAGCCATATTTACGGTACGGTAACAACGATGTCTGTGGGTTGCAGATGTGATACATCTTCAAGTCAACTCCATACCTCGTGTTGGCTGACATTGACAAGGTGACGTGAAAAGAAGTCTTTGCTGCGCAACCGATGCTTTCATTGAAGGGTGAATCCAGTTGCTAGGCCATGTGCTATGTACGCTGCATGAGCGCCTATTGTAAAGAGTACGGTACCCTTCACCCATTTTAAAGAAGTACAAACATCAATGTCGACAACCTAGAACTCGGTGGAAGGGGCCGCAGGCTATAAGAACGAATGTATTTGACTGAGTTCATGCAGTGTGAACGCGTGATCCTTCTTGTGTCCGGTTAAAGCACCTCATAATGTGTCCACAGACTGCTCTCGCTATAGTGTTCCCGTTTTGAACTCCTATTCAGAGTGTCTGAGTGGATGTTCGAAGGTATGTGCGCCTTTGAATACTTGTGATAAGCCACCGAAAGGCTCATTTACTTTAATTTTGTTGTTCTTTCTTGAAAGCTAAACAAATTACAACTGTAGGTCAGTGAAGTGCCTGTGTTCGGCATGGTGTCAACAATAATAGTGATGCATAAATAGTTTGTTATTCGTTAGGCGAGTACATACAAACCGTTACGTGGATGAGAAATACCACACTTCCCACCTGAGGCAACGCCAGGGAGTAAATGGCATAGTCTGAGGAGACGGTGAATATGGCGATGGCGATTCCGACAGCTCGGGCCAAATTCGCTAGCGCCTCGATGACAATGCGACTCCCGATCAAATGGGACAATTGGCAAATTAACCAGAATGGCTCAGTCGACAGTTCGAACAGGCCGGACAGTGCGTAGACCAACAGACAATTGACATAACGCTCCTGGAGTACCTCAACAGGCAGCATCATTTCACCATGTTTGGAGGCCAGAGAGCTGGGTGACGGAAGAACTCGGATCCAGACGGTTAGTAGGATAACGGCGGTTATCATCCCAAGCGGAAGACTGAGGACAAAGATGAGAAGTTCCGTGAGAAAGAAGGCTTACGAGGTGAGTGTCGCATTCTTGGGTAACAAAATGTTTTGCACTGGAAAAACAATATCTATTTATCAAGAATCGAAGGTCTATGAAGAGATCAAACCAAATACGGAGCAAAATAAGTGCACGCGAGTTTTTTCCAGCAATAAAAACAAATACTTTAACAAGAGACTGATATGCACTTACACACCATAGAGTGGCATTTATTTACAGAAGTAACGATGACGATGTGTAACCGGATTCAGCATGAGTGTTTATTCTATAGTTTGTGGAATTCAACTGTACCGAATCAGCATTTGACGTGCACAGAACCAAGCCGCATGCGCACACATGGCTCACGGTTCTGATATTCCATTATCCCGTGGTCATACCGCTACATAGGTAAAACCAACACCGTTTGTTAAGCAATGCTACTCAGATAAAACGCCTGGATATCCGAATACAGACACCACGAAGAGTGGCTAATTATGAGTGGCAAGTGAAACCACGGACTATTAGGCGCCCCGAACTTCATTTTGCCACTATGTGGTTCAGTACAGTAGGAAAACAAATTAATCGCATGACTAAATAAACATAAGTTACGGTAGTTTTAAGATGCTTGTTTTACAGTCGGCGCATAAAAAAAATACTGTGTACCAAGTTCAATTAGCCGGTTGACTTGGTAGTCAAAATGGAAACTCGCTAAAACCAGTCGTTTTTTTTGTTACCATTCTGGCAGATCAAGATGAGTAAATGAGTGGATTAATGAACATTATACGAAGTCTTGAAATTTCGGCAGTCGAGAGCGAGAAGTGGTTGGTGTATGCTTGACCTTCGAACTTCCGAAGATCCCTGGGTACACTGTTTACTCGCCTGAAGTTCGTCCACATATGGACGACCAGACAAAAAAGGCCCAGTTTATGTTTTTCTATGACGTTTTAACACACGACAAAACATGAAACGGTACACCGGTTGGAGCATACCGATCGTAAGGTCGTTAAGTTGTGTGAAGGTGGCACTGAGACCCAGTGGCCATAAGATGAAGTGACGACTTACATTGCCCAGGCCAGATCAATCAACCCCGCTAGACGGGAAAGAGGTCGACGCCTTCTACCACGACTTGCTAATCGAATAGATTCTTCGGAGTCTTCATCCACAGAAGAATTGGCTTGAATCAGCAACTGGCCGCCGCGGCTCAGAAAAGCACGACGGAACGCATCACGCGAGATGAACATCAAGGTTGTGTAGAACAACCCTAAACGTACGTTGACTAAACCGAGACTAGCCGTATCAAGGCGATGATAAGCAAGTCCTTTCAGAACAAACGTCATCAAATGCAGTCCAAGTTGCAGAAAAAATGTGTAGCCAATCAACGAGAATCCTGTAGAGACAAAACGAGCACCAGAGTGCGTTTTGGTTTGGTTATCCGTAGATGGGCTCGGCAGTGACTCCGCATCAATTGAGAGATTGTGTCCTTTGAATTCACAACATGTCTTGTTTCGGGGAGGTGACAGACAACCGCGGACAGCCGATTTCAAAGACCGAAAAGGTTGCCAACGTCTAGGTGTCTCGCCTCTCATATCGGCGACATCGGTCTCACTGAAAGTGAAGGATAGAAAACGTGAGTAGACAAACACAACAAATAAAAAATGAGAGAGTCTGTTCACCCTAATGAACTAAAAAATAATGAATGGAAAACTCGGGAGTCGCGAAACAAGCCCGGTTTCTTCGGTCGACTGACAGTGGTACACCAACCAACCATTCCTCAATTAGTGCGGGCTAGTTGATGAGATTGTCCCAGTCACATAGGGAAAATGAAACACTGTCGCAGAATGGCAACTTCCCAATCTTCTTATGTTCAAAAACGTGCCACAGTACCAAGAAGGTCATACAGATATCAGTCTGAGATTGCTTTAAGAGTGGTTGCAGGTACCATGCTCCGAAAGTCCGAAAGTGACCTATTCGCATTGTGGATGTAATGGCTGTGTCACTCCATGACTCACTGGACCATGTAATACTCGCAGGTGGCCGTTTGGTGTGAAGAATACCTTCGACTGAACCGATCGTGCAAGCTTTCAGCTGTGCTTATTACCAGAAACATGTCATCTGATGCAAGACGAATTAATGTCACACTTTTTGATTTGACTCCACATATGAGACTCCAACTTGCTTGCTCGTGTTGTAGGGTGGGATATTAGGGTCCCAACAATTCAACCACCGAACGTAAACTTTGTCAAGAGATTTTCAACCAAGGCTTGAATGATTTTCCAGGGAATATTATCTCAGCTGAAACCACGAAGGTTAGGGTGTCAGGACTGAGTGATACGGAATCACCATCTATCCCTTGACAAGACATACTACTCATAAGATTGCTGAAAACCCACTATCGGCTTTACTCTTCCTGGCACTCATCGCATGAACGTGATCCTCAGTTTTCCATCAACCCAAATTTGTTATGTGTACTCAATCATGCTGGAAACAACGTAATGTCAGTTAACATTCACTTGGCCATGCACTTTTGTTTTTTTCCGATAATGCATGAATGGGTCTTTTCAATTTCCAACCGCATTTCATTCTAAGCATATTGATCAAGACATATTCTTTCGGACATAGACTGCCTGGTCTGAATATTCATATTCAGGATGGACGTAAAGTGCCCATCTATGATATGCATTGGAACCAAATGCTTGACACCACACGAGACCGAATAACAGCTCGGTCTCGAAATCCAGAAGGCTTAGTCTGGTAAATCTTTAGGTAATATGTCCCAATGCACTGAGTACCTATGAGACCGATCAAATGAACTTTTCTTATTTGGCATTTTTTCATCTAGCAACTCTTCGATCCTGCACAAGTCCTAGCAATGATTTAATGAATGTTAGTTGGCACGAGGATAAGGTCTGTTATCTGGGATTTTCGTCTGCAGAGACTCTAAATTTCGCATCCGTCGCAGAACAGTAATGAACGTTCACCTGTCAGTTGCTACGTTTTCTGGTAGATTTCTGAACACATGTTTTAGGTATTGTAAGTCCTAATTATGGATTACAGGCAGTCCGATAACCACGTTCAATAGCAAATGATCTGACTATCTGGTCTTGAACCAAGTGATGATGACTCGATGACTCACTTTGGGGGGTAGAGGGGGAGAGGATAAAGGGTGTCCGTTAAACTTGTCGCCCGAACAGCGTCCTTGTCTGGTTGTCTTACGGGTTGTCTCGAAGTCACGTAAAATCAAAGATGAATGGAAAATGAGCGTTTGACGCTCTGTTTGAATGTTTCAATAATGAATGCCAGTCGCTTTAGCTCAAAACCTCTACATAAGCTTCGCGGTGCTACTGTTGGGTATTTGGATGGCAGTTTGAGTGACGCTCATGGGATCTCGGTTTGTAGCAATCGTCCAATCGGTTTTGGATTCGTATACGTTTGTATTTGTGCAGACTCGGCGTTCTAGTATGGTCAGCGGCCTCCAGTGAGGCTGCGATGAGAAATGAAAGCTTCTCAATTTGACGGGACAATGGCTAGAATCAGATGAGGTTAAAGACATGATCCGCCACGCCGCCTTGCTGAAATATCCCATCTCCCTGGGGAGCTCAATGCAGTGAGAGACAATAATAACTGTTGCAATAGCCAAATGTCTACATTTTAGTCCTGGACGATTAGTAGTGATTCGCAGATGCTTAGACACCTCAAATCAGCTCCTTCTGGGCGAAACTGATTTCTGGCGCACCCGTTACAATTCGGTGCGTTTGAGTTACTGGCATGGAATATTATTTCACCGTTAGGGATGACGCAGTTCGTTGCTAATAATTTATAAGACGATACTGGACAATTGGTATAGGACTTGAAGTTACTTGAACCTGACACATTTATTAGTTGTGTGTGGTTGCGGGATTCAAAGCATTCACGACCCCATCAGCCGTATCACCCTTTCGGTACCTAATTTCCATGCCGCCAGAAGGAAGCACGAGGACCGGGATACTGCCAGGTTGCCGAAGCCCAGACAGTGGAAGTGGAGATGCAGAGGTCGGGTTCGAACCATGGACCTTCCGGTCAGTAAATTCGCGCTGCAACCAGTAAGCCATCCCGCCCACGATCCCACCACTCTCGTTTGAACAGTCACCCCCCCTGTCTTGGAACAATTATTCTGATGAGCCTAAACCAAAGTGAGGGGAAGCAGTGGAGTCGAGTTTCGCCCTTATTAGAGCTCATCAGCAATGCACATCCTCGGTCGTCCCGTGGTTTTGAGTCCGGATATCTGACATGCGAGGTCAGCCTGTTACCACTACTCCACCAGCACACACTGGACACTTCTGAATTTCCACGTCTGATTAGGCGAACATGTTCACGCTTGAAGCCCTCATTCCGATGTCACAGCTTTTCACGTCCTCTGAAAGTGCGGCGTGGACGTAAAGACATCAAGCACCGCTCCCAAGGGTTTAGTGTTCTCAGATGAAGTTTCAGTTACCTCAGCCTGCGCAGCGAACTGATTGGTAGCACATATTGTTGTACATAATCCAGATGCATACATTCGTATAGTAAAAGTGGCTATCTACCACCCATTAGTACAAGCACGAGGAGCAACAGGATAGATCAACAAGAAGAGCTATCAATAGAGTCTAGGGCCAACTTTTACTTCGCACAAAGCTACCAAGCTGACTGGCCCCCTATCTGTAGATCTCGTAAGCACACCGAATGTGCAAAGATTCAAATACGCGTGACTCCAGAAACGATTAGGTTATTGCTGTGAACCGAAATCCCGAAATTACCGGTCATACCTTCATCTTAACACTCGCCAGTGACAGATATTATTGAGTTACTTTGAGGTGGGACTCCCAACAAAGAGATATTAACCATTTCTACTCTTTTCTGGTTTTACATGGTTTTCTTTGGAAAAATCCTGCAAGTTCTGGTTTACAGCACCTGTTAACTGTCTATTTGTCTCTCACGGAGTGTGCTGTAGCGTTTTCACCACGGACCCCACCCAGAAGGGTGAACCAAAGTCACGCTGTCCAACTCCGCATGTGAAGCACAATAGGTTCAAAGCAGAAGACAAAACTCGGTGCGCATAATACGTGGCGGATTCCAGACAGCTTGTGATACTGGATGCAGGCCTCGAGTGAACCATCCGCTGGTGATGTCACTGAAAATGTGCCGAAAATATTGTTCTGAGATGGCAGTTCACAAAGAACTGCAGTGTGAAACGCATATAAACAGAAAAATCAGTAAGAATTACGAGAGAAACAGTAAGGAACCAAGAGACTCAACTGAGTGATCATCTTGCGACTAATATGAACAACCAGCGAGTTGCAGTAAACTACAGAGAAAATACACGGATTAGTACAATCTCAGTCAGTTGGAATGAACAGACTCACTTGTTACTAAGGTTTTCCCTCGAACATTCCATTGAAGATGGTATGGATCTTTTAGTTAGGCGCACAGAGGGCTAGAAAAAAGAAAACACATGCGTTCAACAACCTGATTGGGGACGAGAGCGTAGTGAGCGAAGCATGTTAAATTACTACCGAAAGCACCTTGTCAGAGAAGAGGATAGTGGTGTAAAGTCGTGACGAAAAGCCTCTTCACTCCGCAAAGGAGTGAAGTGCGTTTGTTACCTTAGGCACACATCCACAAACGTGAATAGTTTAAACCACTTTTAAACCCGGCATGGAATTGATGCAACCTCACAGGTGCATGATTGATCGTCTCGGGTAACTCACAAATGGAACGAATTTGATCACAACGCTTCTACGTGACAGTGAACCTTCAGTGTCATATTTTCAGTACCTTCCAAAAGCCTGCTTTCCACTCGCCTGACAAAGTGGGTTATCTGGCCAACTTCCTCTCACACAGCATTTTCTAATTCCTAAAAAAAATATGATACCTATGCTGATGCCGCAAATGGGATTCAGCAATCGGTAATTTTGTCATTCATTGGACATCTGCAAACAGGAACCCGAACAGAGTGAATCTGGTGGATTTTCACAGGAAATGGATTTCCTGGCCTGCGGTTGCGGTTTTCAGGAAATCTGGACGGAAACTGACAACAAGAACGCCACTGACATCGACTAGCAGTCATACCTTGTAACATATCTAATCATGCAGACCGGGGATCATGCGGTTCCATCCCGGAAAACGGGTCTCACCTACGGTATCCAGACATATCATAATCTACTTCATTTCCCACTGTCAGGCAAAAGGGCGACCACTTCTCTGCTTGCACTACTCTGAATCAGTCACAGGAAACAGCACTCTCTTCGGTAAACGATGGCTCGGCACGCGCAGTACATAACCGAAACATCACGCTTTTTGGCACTGGGCAGGTTCTTCGTTTCACAACCGAATATTCGTTTTTTATTGGTCTCGCTGAGGACTCGCTGACACCAGCTTACATGAGCTATAGTTCCGAGAGAATGGCTGTCGGAAACCTGAAGACGTCTCAGTTCCGCTGCTCGAAGAGACCACATCTCGCAGCCATACAACAAAACAGCCCATTTTGTTAGCCTCACACATGTGCTCCTTGAAACTTAGGGACTCACCGCTTTGTTGTCATAGGAAGCCAGAATTATCACACTGCAATCGGAACTAATACACCTAAAATAATTGAAACGCTCCAAAGTATCCTGGTACCTTCCCTTAAGTTGTAAGTGGACTGTTTAGTGACTGCATGTCCAGAAGCACGATCTTACACTTTGGAAATGCAAAACGCATAGAAATAACGGGATGACTAGTCAGATCATCCAAAAACACCTGTGCCTTCTCCTGTTCGAGCACCAGAGCGATGTCGTCTGCGTGTTCCAGATCGACAAGTCTTTCGTCAGCAGTTACTTGAACACCAGGGTTTTGAAGAACCTCCAAAAAACAAACTACCACGACAGACAACATATTGAGGTTAGTGTCATGTATTTGTTGCTTATCACTAAATGTAGCCTGACCGTACTTTCTTAAACTTCGCTTCAGGATCCGGTGCTGTACACGCCGCCCATACTGAGGCTCCACTGCTATCCGATATGTCAGTTGGCTTCCAGATCAAACATTCAGGATTCCTCTGCTTCTTGAATTAGTCACTGACATAGCTCCAACCCAGGATAACAATTCGAGGCCGATCGGCTAACCGATCCCGAACAATATCTAAGTCAATCATCCTGCGCTAATCAGAGTGCAACTGAGAGTTCCCGTGAACAGCATTGGGTCGATTCGCATAAATCGCTTGCTGTTGCCCAATAATCTTGACTTACCATTGTCTTATCTTACCAGCTATAGACCGGATTTTGTTTATACATTCGATTTATTCCCTCAGATCTTTATTAAACAACCGACCATTTGAAGGCTTTGCACTCGAAGTGAATGACACGATACAGTCACACTCAATTTGTGCACCATTACCATTTTCCTAATTCATCATATTTATATCTCTGGACGAGCGAATTTTGATATTCACGAGTTCAACCTTCCCATTGTTGCTCGGTAAACCTACATAGAAGTAAACATGAATAACATGATTAAGGCTCTATTCAGAAGAATCTCCTTTGAGAAACGAGCAGAAAAGAAGATAAACGAGAGATTCAGCTGGTTTCCAGGTGAATCTCCCGTCAAAACCAAATTGGTATGCAGATGAACAAATAAGCGCTTTCTGGCTCTCAGCGGTTTATTCTCTTACCAAAAGGAAACAACCCAACGGAAGTGCCCCAGTTACGGTCTAGGACATTTCCAGACCCAGATACACTGTCACGTTGGACGGATGACGCCATGAGCACGCCAATCTGCAAGGTCCACAAACCTGGAACTGGCTTGATCAATAGTTTAGCGAAGGATGCGCGCACAGTGCCTTTCGCCAGAATGGTGTTTGATGATAATGGGGCTAGAAAACGGGATGAAACAACGAACGTCACACCGATATCACCTAATTCTTAACAATTCCTGCTGCTAACGTTGTTGTTATCGTACGTCTTTGTCGCAAATTATATGACGTTATAATTCTCGTCCGAGTTTAGCTAGGTGGAAAAATATCGTTCACAATGGGTTCGACGACAGAGGTTGATAACCATTATGCACGTTGACCACGTCGTATTCGTGTATACCAGTCACGCTGTTGCAATAGCACTGAACAGCTAGAGAGCTTAGCTTGAAAACAGAGAAATATCCCAGTCCGCGTAAATGCTTAAAAGGTCTGGATACAAGTGGGGTCCAGAAAATATCCTTGTTGATGGACATTTTATGCCTTAAAGGTGTTTCCTAGAAGAGGGAGCACCGTACTGGATTTCGTTCAACTCTCCTTAAACGCACCGAATACAGTCACCCCAAAACAAGCAAATGTGATGAGCACGTGATCAAATACGATTATTCGGGCGACGAAAACATTTTTATCTGCGAAAATGAACATGAACGGAACTGAATTCAATGCCCCAATTTACTAGCACATTTTTACAGGCTCCCAGTGACTGCTTACTTAACCTGGTATTTGGTGTCGAACAAGACACCGTCCTTTTCTGAATAGGTCCTACCGGCATACTAGTTTCTTTTGGGATTCAGATATGGTTAACTACCGTTAAAAGACCGTGGATCGACTACAAGCGACACCTTGGAGAGTTTACTACTGAAATACGCATTAGAAAGGTTACTAAAAGTTACATTTTCTGAGGATGGTCTCAACCGATTGTGGCTTACTCTGGGAGGGATGAATCTATGCCGAGCGAAACAATCATTTCAAATTCCTTCTCTTAGTCCTCTGTTTTTTCGACATCCAGACGGTGTAGTAGAACCCTGTCCACCTCTAGGGTATATTCTTTCTGGCGGAAGCATTTATTAATTGACGTACCAAAACCCGTCCAGACCTCGATACGATAATTCACGAAGTCGTCACTCCCAACACCTCAAATGTGGAGGATGTCTCCCTAAGCGCCTCACAAAGAACACCAAAATATTTTCCTACACAAAAACCTTCGCCTACAAAACCTCCGTCGTGCCATTTCAGCCCGACTCGAATCCAATCCTACCTTTTAGGTGTGATCTTCCGATTGATGCGAACGAACTTGTCCTAAACCTACTAACCATCTAGGTGCACACGACCTAGTCCAAAATAATTGACGTCTTCTACACATATTTGTAGGCAATTGCATTCTCTTACTAGTCCGTTAAAATGTTCACTAGAAAATTCACCAATGATAACAAAAAAGATACCCTTTGACAGCAACAAATACAAGTAGATGCGACATTTCTGCTTGTATTGGATACAACTTTCGGGAATATTGTAAAAGGCAGTACATATGGTGACCAAAAAAGTGTGCCGAAAGATCGTTTCAGTCACAAAATGATGAAAGCATTTGCTTAGGACCAAACTCTGTTGTGAACGAGTGGAGAATTCGGGATGAAATTCACCAACTGAGATGGTAGAATGACAGATCACACATATTACACAGTGCTATCGTCCGACCGATGACTCTCCTGCTTCTGAAACTCAAACAGGCTTGGGTCACAAGGTAAGACATCCACAGATGGGAACATTCTACTGATGGATTTGAACGTACTCATGGTCCTCAGTTGCTTCGTTCGATCACGACACAAATGAGTCCGCTTTTGCGATTCCGGCGTAGACATCGCTGCAGGGGGTAGGCCATCAACCTCTTCCTGGTACTTCAAAATCGCTTCAAGCACATGAATGTATTTGATGCTGGAACGAAGTATCTCGTGTTTACTGAGCTTCTTGTCCGGTGGATAAGTGGGCAAGAGCAACCGAAGTTCTCCAAACGCCTGGTTTACACTACGCTGACGTTGGCGTTCACGGGTATCTTGCACAATTACAGTGTCAAGTAAGGAAAACTTTTGCGCTAGCGACCGTCGGCTCAGCAAACCACGGTAGGGTTTCTTCGAACTCTGATCTTGCACCGAGAAATGTATGCTGGTTTTGGGGTATTGGGATTTCTGTGAATTGTTACGGTTCAAGAGAGAAGCCATTGAAGGATGTTAAGAGAGAGCGGTGAAATTGCTGGCAGTGTGTCGACAAGTTTGATTGAAGTGGAGAACTCATACAGATGATGAGAGAGCGAGCGCGGCATTCGCTACAGCAACCAATCAAAATGGAGAATTCGCATCACAAGCAGAATCAACTGAAGCAGGACATCGATAGACCAGAACAACCGACTTCGTGTGTGGGTGTGCGCGCAAACAGCTCCAAAGACGCAGATAGGGGACAGAACAAACGCATGACTGGATAACGTTAGCGTCCCAAGAGCATAATTAATTTCCCTATACACACTTCATCCTATTGTGATCCTGCGATAAGACGATGCGATAATATCCAGCCAATTTTGTGTTGACACAGCGGAAAAAAATCATGGGGATGGGTGTGTATATCTCTACTGAAAACAAAGCTGTGGCACATCCAGTTAGTAATCAGCAGAAAAGAATGATAACAAAACGAGCTGGTTTGCTAAACTAGTTGACGATCCTGTGCTGGAAAAGAATGGGGAGCTTCCCGCGAAAACGAGAGGGCAACAAAAAAGCAGCAGTGAGACAAGTTGGGGAAGCAAACTGTCGGTGAAACGATATTTTTCGAACGGAATCCGGATGAGCTGAGGGCAAATGTTGAAAGACAATATCATAACGGCTTGTGACAGGACAGAAAAATTAGGAACGGTTAAAAGTGTCATGAGAACACGGGAATGCTGAAGAGGTTCACCAGTCATTCGTCAACAGTTTGAAGACGCTTTGCACGTAGGTTACAGTGAGATACACGTGGGACCGTGGAGGTTACGCGTCACCTCAGCAAATAAATGATAAACGTCAGAAGATCTTGAAAGAGACAACAACCTGAAGAAAGCACACTGCCTTGAAAGTTGCACAACGGCCCTCCTAACCACCATCGGAGAGATTAAATCCTCCTTTTTATCAAAACCCACAGCACATTTTCACTACCGCACAATCACAATCTAGCCGGAGATCTTGTAGTGAAAAGGGATAAAGATGGATATGGAAATGATCTAGTACCAACCTACTAAAGGCGCCTACATTTATAGATAATTATTCAAACCATCTGGATAGAACCTGACAATAAAAAGGTCGGTTACATCGAGTAGCAGTCAAATCTCGGTCTTCAGTCAGCAAAACATGGAGCCACACCTTGGATCGCACCGAAAATGCCTTCCCTTTCCCAGTGTGGTAAGTCCTCCGGGGATAACAGCAACCTGCCAGAAGACTGTAATTGATTTACTGGTCCACAGGAGACTGAAATATCACTTGCAGATCAAACTGTTGGCTGAGACTGAATGATCTCCTCAATGAATTTTGTTCCAAAGAATCACGCACTGACCTATTTGAATCTCGACTGACAATTTATATTTATAGGGGGGCTCCATACCGCATTCAACCATTACCACAAGTCCACAATATCGGGCCTACAAACAACACACCATACTCACACACTTCTGAGTGTTCCCCGCCAAGCTATTGTGCTTTTAAAGACCACTTATCGCGCAGGTCTGGCTTCAGTACTGCAATGCTTCTATGCGCTTTACTACGTGGGACAAAATTATTAATTCCTCAACCATGTGAGCGAGCTCGACGTGTTTCAATCTTTTCCGGATCTTATTGGGTGCAGTCCGTGCGATCCTACTCGCACGGGGGTTAAAATGCATACAGGAAAAGGAAAGCAGTTGGTATCAGCTGCGAAAATACTGCCATATTTGATCGGACTGTCTAGCTTGCCTGTCGTCTTGTGTTCTTTTTATTAGGTGGAGTTCGTAGAAGACATTAGGTCAGTCTCACTGATGACATCTTACTCCAGTATATTGTTCACATGCGTCCATCTTGCTCATCATTACCATCTTTCTCATATCCCAATGTGTGGTAATTTGCCTCTGAACCTCTTCCCTACGGACAGAAGATCGCTTCTATTGAGTTCACACACTTCTCTTTTCCTTCTACTCCTTACTGGGAAGCTGTTCTGTCGTGGAGTTAGGCCAGTCAACTGTATATAATGAGTGTACTGCAGTCGACGATGACGATGACGGTGTTGGTCGTAATTGGTGTCACCACGGTAGGAACGTCAAGTGCGACATCGATCCCTAACTTTCAAGCGCAGTTCCCGATCAATTCATCAGCAGACAGCAAAACATCGCCATGGCCCGTTTTGGGTGGGTCTATTGAAACTTACACTGACAATTCTCGGTGTCGACCAACATGTAGTTATGCGTGGAGTGAATTTCCTTGGATTATACACACTGGTGTTTTCAGAGCTCGAAAGAGGAAAGTCAGGTAGGTCAAGGTTCACTTCAACAGCACCATCGGTAACCCAAGTTGCCTGTCGAGCTTTGATAGCTTTTGGCCCAGATGCTTCCTAAGACTTGCGTTCATCGCAGTGAACCAGGCGTTACCAGAGAGAAACAGGACCATAACCAGATGCGGTGCGAAAATCCAAGGGACCACAAATCCTGACCATTTCAGACCAGAAGAGTTTCGGTTCCAAGGATTCTCTGCTAGCAGACAAACCGTTTTCCGTCCATTTTCATCATCATCATCATCAAAATCAACATCATTGACAGCATGACATCAGTGCTAAACACCGATGCTTCGCTGCCGTCCTTTTCGGTCCCAAAAATGAACTACGTTCCCATATTTATTACAAGTGATTACAACTTATACATGTGCTCTATATATATATATATATATATATCCACGGCTATCTGTAACCCGTATATCCATATGCAAACAGCGGACTGTGGCGTGTATCCACGTATCGGTAGAAATAAGGCCTTTTGCCAAGGTGTTCAAAAGTGCACTTAAGCCGAGGAAAAAACGTAGCCTTCGGCACAAGCCTGAAACAGAAATATTTCAATGTATTAGGCCTGTGGACAACGCATATTGGTGTGCTTTCTGAACAATACACTGGACCTGTTCTTAAGGACCTGTAGGGCGCACAAATGCGGGAATGATCTGCAGTCGGTCAATACAAAAGTGAGTAGTGAAAAACGTAAGGACAACTAAAAAAACCCATACGTCCTCGTTGGAAGCGGACAAACGTGACTAAATTATTCGCCGTATGCCATTGGCGTGGGCAGCTCAGCAGCAATTGTGAACGCCTTTCGAGACTAGGTTGCGGATATATATCAGCAGGGAGGCTCCACCACGCATCCAAATCTTGCCACAGGATTGCTTAGAACAACGCTGGAAAGTGGTGAGATTTCCGTGGAGGAAGCAATCAAATAACACCTTTCAGTGCAACGAGACTTGGTCAGATTTACTAGTGCATTTTGAAGGAAATGGCACAGAATTTTGCCTATCTAAATGCCTAGAAAACGCCCGTGGTGGCACCAATACTTAAGGGTGGGGATAGGTGGATACCAAACATTTATAGACCAGTCTACCTGAAAAGCATTCCCTATAAAAATTCTGAAGATACCCATTAAAACTGGAATTGCTCGGCTTAGCACAGTATGTTTTTCTTTACGAAAAGCCAGTGGATTCACACAATAGAGAATCGGTGTACGATGTTGAATCCTTTATTTTGCAAGGAGTTTCTATTGCGGTCCATAAATGTTTCTGATTCAAAAGCCGTAGGATTATGGAACCGTTCAAAACCTGCGGGTCAATAGCGTTCTTCTTGGATACTCCTCGTTCATGGTCCAAGCAGGATAAAAATTCTCTAAGCCGACTGTGGTCAGGCCAGGAGTTCTTGAGGAATCGGTTGTGGATCTGCTCCTGTTTCTTATCTAAGTCATTCATGAGAACCTTTTTGTCAACCGTCTGGTTTTCGAGGATGACCTGGAGATTTGGGACGATCTTGATCTCATACACCGTGTTATCTACGTTGTGGAAGTCGTGCTTAATCTCAGGGCTGAATACGTCTAGTTGGACTGGATTCCAGTCGGCTCTGTGCTATTAGGTCCACTGGTGCGATCAAGATCGATGTATCTCCATTAATCCCCACGAAGCAAATAGTACTTATTTGTTGTGTCAGAATGCACTCCAACGGACGGTAGTTCTCAGCCTGAGAAAGAGCTTTTATCATGGTTTGTCAAAATTTGGCTGATAAACCCCCAGAACTCGACGGACGCAGTAGCAGTAGTGGTGATTTGTAGGAGGATTCGAGAAAACTGTAAGAAGCCATATTCGTAGCCTGATACTACCTACCCGAGGTCACTCGCATATCCCAATGAACACTGGATCACATCAGGATCGGCAGCTCTGATTGAAACAAAGAAAACTATACCAGCAGCAACCAACCATAGTGGCGCGTGCAGACCCCAAAAACACTTAACAATGCTCACAAAAGTCCCACAGATGGATAAAGCCTTTGCAATGGAAAACAATGGCACCCTGTTCCAGTTAACTCGAATAACTAGTCCGAAAAGGGTAGATGTTTTTGAGACTATTTTCGAATCATTCGCAGAAGTGTTTTCTCGAATGACTGGGTAAACACTTTGAAAAGCAGTTCAGCTAGACCCTATCAGCTCACCCTCTGGAAGAGGGTGGAACGCTGACATCAGTCCGCTGTCGGTAACGGAAGTCCAGCGCGCAATTTCATTGCCCCAGCGCAACAGAGCACCTGGTCGAGACGATTTGCATCCCGCACTCTTCAAAAAAGGTGGAGAGTCCTCAAAGCTAGCTCGACGGCTTTACTCTACCTTTATTTACTTACTTACTTTACTCAACCAACAGCGACCGTACTTCTCGATCTGCTTTTGAATCCATTGATCTTCAGGAACTGTGGCAGTGTCTACGAACAGTGTCACTCCTAAATGTCTGTCTCTTCTAGAGGCTTTATATGCCTCCTCTCACGGATACGAAAGTTCATTCTTCCCTGACAGATCAGTTGGCTGCACTCTGCTACACTCTCAACCATGAACTATCATGGTTGTACGGCAGTGGAGCATCGGTGTTGAACACTGATGTCATGCTGTCGATGATGATGATGATGATGACGA